CTGAGGTGAGTACTTGTTTAGATACCTGGCAGCCCTGGATCATTTACAGTACTCAGGTGTGTTTGTACAATACTCACCCGAGTACTGTAAATGATCCAGGGCTGCCAGGTATCTAAACAAGTACTCACCTCAGCACCATGCCGAGACCAAGTAACCTGACCAAGTCTGAGTCGACTCAGCTAAGGTCTTGAATACTGGTACAAACATATTGTCTAGATAACATCATCTGATCCCATAGCTCACTGCCTAGAGCAATTTTCAATTACAAAAACTAGAACGTCCAAATGATTCACATACAACATCTCAACGCCTGCTCCACCAATTCACCATCCATTACCTCCAACAGAACAATTGCTCACAGGTCCAAAGCAAATTTCTGCTTCCCTGGTTCCCTTTTTACTTTTTAAACTTTGAAGTGTAGGGCAACATGACTGCTAAAGGATATATGTATGGCATCATGAAATCATCTTGGAAGAAGGAAGTGGATGATGCTAATTGTATCAAGCAACATAAACATATGCCATGTCAAAAGGGCAAGAAAATGTTCAATTGAAATTAAAAACATACCCAATCCATTTCGCAATGAATAACAAATCATGTAAATAGCAGAAGTTGAACTAACTATTTCTTTTTCTTAATAGCAGAAGTTGAAATAACTATTTCTTTTTCTTTTTTCTTTTTTTTTTGGAAAATCACAATTTTAACTAATAATTCGACTTGAACTTAAATATCCAGTAAATGTAAAAGATAAGACCAACAAAGATATAAGAACAGAGAGATCTTTACTTGAAAGTGGGAGCTGTTGATGCACAATGCGATTCGCCTACAAAGGGGGACCATAATCCTCTGAAACTCAACTCCATTTGTCACCTCTAAAACCTCCTCCAATTCCCCCAAAAACATCACTTCCTTTTGGCTATTAGTGGCTGGCCAGTACTTCAACAACCCCGTTATAACGGTCCCTGCTAATTTGGGCTCCTTCTCTACGAACTGAATGACACTAAATGATAACTGTTGAAGATAAGCCCCAATATTTTTAGCCTTATGAAGTGGGATCAAAGCTCTTACTAAGAACATCTTATGCTCTTCCTTTAATGGCAAAGCAAACCCACTAATTATACTCCCAAGAACCTCTAACAACTCAGCTATCCCATTATGCCTCTCTGTTTCAAAAACAAATCGATAAAATATATTACTCACTGTTTTCCTTATAAATGGCCTATGAACCATGAATTTCCCATAAATTCTATGCAAAATCTTCTTCAAGGCCTCTCTCTCTCTTGGGTCTTCAGAATCAAAGAGCTCCAGCAATCGAAACACAAAGGAATGGTCCAGGTACTTCTTCACAGCTTTTGGATCAGTGTTGGAACTGGCAACGAATTTCAATAGCAAATCATAGACAATTTGGAGATAGGGCCAAGCTGGATCCATGGCAGGCTCATCTTCGTCAATATCCATTGCTGATTGAGGTGAAAAAACAGTACTGCTTCGAATGCTAGGAGGTAACACCCTAAAAATATGAGCTGAGATCATGTTACAGAGGGCCTCCATGACTTGTTCATTGAATTTACAGGAACCCAAGTTGACAAAATCAAGGATTTCAATGAGGGTTTGGTGCCTCAATTCTTGATCAGTTTCATTGAGGGGTTGTGAATTGCTAGAGTGAGAAATTAGGGTGCAGAGATTGAGTTTACTGATGAGGAGTGACTGTTTCTCTGAAGCTGGAGCTTCTTTGAGAGAGGAGAGGGGATCAAAATTTGCAGGGAATACAGCAGAGGAAGTGCGTCGACCCGAGATGGAGGGCTCTGTGATTAGTGGGGAGGAGAAGGTGGTGGGTGAATCTGGTTTAGGGTTTTTTCTAGGGAGTTTGCTGAGGAATTGCTTAATCATAGTGGCAAGAGAGAGAATGAGAGTTGATCGTGCGCTGATATCAGATAGGAGATTGTTCTCGGTAGGTTATCGTAGATATTTATCTTCCCACACACACAAGAGAGAGAGTTGAAGGGTATGTTGATTTCAGAGAGGAGATTGTCTTTCTTTTTCCTTTTCCTCTAGAGAGAGAGAAACAATGGCTATGGCGATTTCAGATGGGAGGGTGTTGTTGTAGGGCTTTCATAGCTCCTTCCATTGTTTTGACTGAGAGCTTGATGTTGTAGGGTTCCCCTTCTTTCTCCTCCTCCTGAGAATATGTGTGTGATAGAGAGAAAGAGAGATCTGTTAGGTTTGTACTAGCAGAGAAGGGCTGGTACTTGAAGGGGTAATGGAGGAATTTCAATGGAGGAAACCCTAGGCTGAATTGTGCTGGGACGGTTCAGATGATGAAGCATGGGATTACTGGGAAAATAATTCATCTCTTCAAGATTCCTTCCTATTGCAAATTTGAGAGAGAGAGAGAGAGAGAAAGAGTGGAGTTGCAGAAAATGGTACAGAGAGTGGTGGCAGGACTTAAAAAAGGAAATATAAATAATTGAACGCTGTTTGTGCAGGTAATAAACAACCACACTGCCCATATCTTTATCTCAAATGCCTCTCTGAATCCATACACCGGACGCAGACTATGCTCCTGCGGGTGCATACGACATACTCATACGCTCTTTGGTTTGGTGGGATCATATTTCTTTTTTTTCCATTTCTCTTTCTTTTTCTTTTTTCTTCTTCTTCTTTCTTTCTTTTTTTTTTTTTTTTCTTTTTTCTTTTTTCTTTTTTCTTTTTTCGTTTTTTTTTTTTTCTTTTTTTCTTTTTTCTTTTTTTCGTTTTTTTTTTTTTTTTAAGTTGAAATCTAGGCATACATTTATGATTGTTTTTACATGAGAAATTATTATTATGGGTTTCTAAAAGAACAATTGCTGTATACAGGTTGGACCATATTTCTACGGTATGCATTTTAGAGGTATAAAGCGTCTATCTTATGGATAATAGGTGGTCCATTTAAAAATAATGATAACGAGCAGTCAAAATATTTTTTAAATATAATTGTTATTTTTACATTTTAAATTTCTTTTTCCAAATTCATGATCTTTATGTTAAAAATTATATATACTCTAAATATGAAGATCAAATTATATTTAAAATGTATATTTAATGTCAAGCCTGCATTTCTACAACATGCAGGCTGCCCGCATGCTAACCGCGTCTTTTTAAAACCTCAGATATGACGTCGAAGACGCCTTCAATTTTAGGAGGTCAAGCTTTTCCAAATGACTATATGTTTGTGGCGTAAATAGAGAAGGTGCTCTTAGCTAGAGAGTCCTACTTAGCTACGTTAAATAAGAAGATTGGACCCACAAGAATAGTGATCATGAATAGAATTTTATTCTTTTATGAACAATTGCTCTCCGACTTCCCTGTCAGTTTGGTTTTTATATAAGGAAAAAATTTATATTGGGGTGAGGCTACATACACGTTTTGATCTTCAATCCAACAATCCAACACAGATCTATAATGAACCATCTGCTCTATGAATCTGATTTTGAGGCACTAGAGTCTATTAAAAGAAACTGTATGGGATATACCGCTATGTTAATACTCTTCAAAGCCGATCACAAGTTCTAATAAAAAAAAAAAAAGTAAGTTGTATTAGGTTGGTAGTCAACATAAAATTTTTACAAACATCTTACGTTAGCCTGGACATATGAGAACTTCTCCACACATTAAGATGGGCCGTTATTTCACGATTTGGACTAAGCTCCAACCAATAACATTTGACCAAGATACACGAACCAAGATACCTGAAAAAGCCCTAGGATTTTGACCCAAATGATTAGATTAGGTTAGTTCATACAACTAAAACTAGTTAGTTGATGTAGTGTGAATAAGACCAACTTTCTAAAGAATTCCCCTTGCCTAATCTCTTCTCTATACATTGTTTTTTTTTTTCTTTTTTGTTTGTTTGGTAGATCACATTAGGTAGCCTAAAGTGTGAATGGGATTTAACCATATGAAGGCCTTTATACCATGTAAGTTATCTTTTTCACGTGAATTTGGAATGCTCTTTGAGCGAGATCAACTCAAATTTTTTAAATATCGAGATAAATTTTTAGATTGATAGAGAGAATGTGGTTCACTCAATTTATAGATTTAGAAGCATCACAGATCTTGCAAATTTTGTCGTCTAAATCTATTGCCAATACCAGCTTTAGAATATGTTTTCTAGACCTTAAAAAGCTTCAAATTCTAGCTAATTTTCCAAAGAAAGAAAGTAAACTGAAAATTACAAAATAAATTAAAAAATTAAGGAAATAATGAATTAAATAAGGTAGGAAAAATACTACTTATCTTTGGAACCCGAAACCCGAAGTTTCGAGCTCGGCTCAAGCAGCTCTTGTTCGACCATCTCCTTTGATAAATTCCTTTTGTTGCTAGAATTACTAGAATTTTGGCTTAGATCTCTTAGATTTGGTGTTTCTAAGGTTAAAGGAGGCTTAGAGATCCTATGTATGGGTTTCCCTAAAGATTCCTAAGGAAAAGAGATGGATTTCTAGTCTTTTCCAAGCTTTTTGGGCTTTCCTATATATATTTTTACAATTTTTTATAATTACTTTGGGTTTTTAAAGTTTTCTTCTAATTTTTCCTAGCTGCCAAGGAATTTTCCACGCTTTTTCTTAATTATTTAGGCTATTTTTCTAATTTTCTAGATTTTTTAACTATTTTCTAAGGACATTTTGGTTATTTTTTGAAGCTTTTTCCAACTAATTTTCTAGGATCTTTGAGGCGTATGTATAAGTTTAGGTAAGGGTTAGAGTTCAAAATATTAGAACTGATCTCAAAGTCCCAATTTGATTAGGAATATGGCAATTTCGTCAATTTTTCATAATTATCTTGTTAAAAACCGACCTAAAATCCCTATCAAAATGGATTTCTAAAAGGTCCCCGCTGCGTCCAGGCCCATTGAGCAGCATGACACACAGCGCCTTGCGTGGCCCGGCGAGTGTTTGCGTATCGTGTGACCCGTAGAGGCTCGCATGGTGGGACTTTTTTGTCATTTAGGAATAACAATTTCCTTGAGTCCAAACTCTCCAACAATAAGTCATGTTCAAGCGATTCTTAGACCGTTGGAAAGCTCTTGGGATCTACTACAACTTGGGACTAGTTTCGAGTAGTTTTGGGAAATTTCTACTGGTCCTAAATTCACTATGATTAACTAAGGTTTGTATGGTCCTATGGACTCAAATCTAACGTTTTTAATAATTCCCATAGTTAAATTTATAAGGGGTGTCTATAGTTGCCCCTCTTTGACATTCATCTTGGATACTGGGTATATGACAAATAAGTAGATACCCGAGACATGATGGAAAGAAATGAGTGATCATCCTTTTGAATGACCACTACCCTCTAGAGAAGGAAGTATACAGATGGATATTTTTTATTCGTAAGACATTGAACTTGCACTGCATTATCTTTAAGATAGTGGCATTGAGAGATCTTTGACAATCAGTATTTGAAGTGGCAGTCAACAAGAACCGTGTTAACTCTGAGCGGTTACTTCTCCTCACTGAGGTGTTAGTAGAGTCATCTTCAGCTTTAGACATTTGCTTTTGGACCTGGTTTTCAATCGAATGAGAACTTGAATTATGAAGAAATGGTGATGATGAATTTATGGTTAATTGAACTTTTATTTGCCTTTGATTCTAAATTCTTAGGATCCAGAGGTTTAGGTTGAGGTTTTGGGAATCTATGTGGTGTTTTCTTCCTAAGGGTCTTCAGCATAGCATTAAGGATTTGGTGGCAATGGAAACATCATGTCCGAGCCATTTGAAACTCCTTCATTTTTTTGAAAATATTTTTAGAAATTTTGAAAATAGAGAGAAATTTTTTTAAACATATGCAGGGTTTCGAACTACAATTTCTCTACACGACCCCACTCGCGTCTTCTTTTCAGTCATTTTTGTGCCCACTACACCCAATTTCTTTTACTCTTTTATTGTGCTTCTTCAATTTTATATAGAGATGGTTGAACAATTAGTATGGTAGCTTAGAGGTTGTCACGTCTCACGTCGAGATGAGATGGACGACGACAAGTGCATATTTCTTCTTCCCTCTTGATTTCAATTTCATTTTCCTTCTTTTGATGTTGGATATAGCCTTTCAAGGCCTTTTGCGCAATGCCAGCAGTGTATAGAGTCACAATAGGAGTAACCAGGAATATAGTGGCTACCTGTATCTTTGCGTACTGGGATCCATTCAAACCAAAATAACCCCATTTGATTGAATGATACGAGGTTCTTGGAACAATATTGTGAACTGAGATGTTTTAGGGTTTTCATGTAGTCATGATCGATATAGCTGTCTTCGCTTCATGTCGAGAGAGCCAAGGCTTCGAGATCAGTGGATTTCGTGCCCAGAATCTGTGCTGGTTCACAGTAGATGGTCGCACGACTGCCCCCTGTTCTTTGGGAATTTTTCAAGTGGAGTGAGGATAAGGGAGCTTCAAAAAGTCGGGTTATTCAGATATTTTATGGTTTAAGAAAAGCCCCAGTCTAGGTCCTACGGGCAGGGGTTTGGATCGGTTTTAAGTCAAATAGGGTCTGAGGATAGTGCAATAGAGTCTAGACGTTTTTTTCTAAAATTTGCTCTTTTAATCAAGGAATTAGCCCCTTATTTATAGGCAAACATATCCTTTAATCATCATTGAAATCCCATATTCAATTTGGGACGCTCAGATTGAGGCGAGGTTACCAAATCCTTCAACGCATTTGGCATATGCATCACTCTAATATTAGTTACAGGCCACGTAATTAATGCTTAAGCAACCCATAATCTTACAATATGGTGCAATTTTAGGGGCAGAGTGTCAGCAATTCAACGAAGTTGGCGATGTAGTTGATGACACTGGGACTTTCGTCCACTGGAAATTGCCATGTGTCCTCCTCTGGGTGTTTTTATGGGCCTTGATCGGTCAATAAGAGGCTGGAGCTGGTTGGAGGTGCATCGACGCACATGCCACCTCCATCATGGTCAATGACTGTTGGGAGCAGTCATCCCAATGTCAGGTGATTTGACGATTCATTCGACAAATCCAAAGGTGGCATCTTTACTGAGGTTGTCAATGGTCATCATACTGACACCGAATATTTTAGTTCATACATCCAAGTTGTCAGGCAGTTGGTTTGACCTGTCAGAGTACGACGACCTTGCCAATGGTGTCTACAAATTTGGCAACTTCATTTCCTACTTTTTCTACACATTGGCTTTCACATCCCAAGGCATTCGCTGTCATGATTGATTGGATGATCCGGACAACAGGTTTTTCAATAGAGTTGGGATTGTAGTTGAAGAAGTTCCCATTGTAGTTGGAGTTGTTTGCTTCTTGGTTGCTTGCGAATTCAAACTCCTTGGTTCCAAACTGTTTGGTTCAGCTCTCGGGGGCATTATTGCTTGGTGATCTAGGTGATTTAAGGTGTGGTTTGTGGTCCGTTATGGTTGGTTCAAGTTTTGAGA